TTTAGTTTTTTTTTTTTTTTTTTTTTAGACATACTTTATTCCCATGTTTCTCAAATAATGGGTTGCAACCCAAAAGTGGGTTGGAACCAGGGGCGGACTGGGCTACGGGGTAAGTGCCCCCCAGGCGCCTCTAATGCCCCAAAAAAACATCCCGTGCCCTGACAACATAGCTTAATAAAAACTGCCAGCCACACTAATATAAATATTAAGATGGCCAGGACCACAACTATGGCCGGCCTTAATATTTGTATTATTGCAGCCAGCCAGTCACATTAAGGTGGGGTGTACTCACAAGGCAGTCCCACGGCTCTCGCGCTCATTCGTCCGCGGCAGGGCTGGGAGGAAGTGACATATAACTACACTTCCTTCCAGCCAGCCAGCTGCGCAGGAGGGACGAAACACACCACTGGATGCCAGGGAATGACTCTTTGAAATTTTGAAAGGAGTGAAAGAAAACAGAAGGGATCGTGATGGGGGGGAATGAAGGAAATCATGAAAGGGGTGGGCATGAAAAGGGAGTCAGGGTGGGTGTGAAAGGGGGAGAAGGAAAGAGCATAAAAGAGCGCTGTGATTACTGCATTATCCATTTTGGAAGGAAGCTGTTTGTTTAATGCAGGGGGTCTCCAAACTTTCTAAATAAAGGGCTGGTTTACTGTCCTTCAGATTTTAGGAAGTCCGGAGTGGTCAGTCAGAGTAGAAAATGTCCCAGCATCAGTAGGAGTAAAAAAATGACAGTGCTTGTAGTCAGAGGAATAGTACCCCGAGGGCCAGATAGAGGCAAGTAACTATGGAGACCACTGGTTTAATATATAAAAAGTGCATATACATAGAATACTGTCCAAGTTGTTTTGTGGAATAAATTATGTTTCAGAAATTAAATTTATTTTTGGGTCACGACCTAATGACCAAGGCTAAATGTGGGTCCTGAGGTTCCACAGGTTGAGAAGCACTGCTTTAATCAAAGTAAGGGTTTTTTTTTTTCTCCATATAAGGGGGTTCTAATGACACATTCAGGTGTCATTTAAAGGTCATGTCTTTGATCTTTATATCCATGTAGCAGAGTAATTACAAAGTAACAATAATGTTACTTTCTATGTCTGAAAGATGTACAGCTAAAGCTCTTTTGGCTGTACTTTTCTTGTGGCTTACAGGAGTGCTGTTTGTTCTGCACTCATGAGACCTGTTTTCAACCAACAGCGGGCTAAAGTCTGCTGTTGGCTGACGTCACAGAGCCTGTACAGGCTGGGGTAATCCGCGGAGAGCCTGAGCCAGCCACTCCCTCCAAAGTTTAGCACTCCAGTGAGCTCTGAAGGGGCAGAGCAGAGAGCCAGAGACTGACAGTCCCGGCTCTCTGATCAGAGCGGCAGGGAGAGCTGAGCAGTCAGTGGTGTTTGATCGCTCAGTTCTCAGCATTAAAGCTGGTGGGGGACAGATGCAGCATCGGATCTATGCTTCATCCACCTAGGTAAGTAGGATTTATTTTAAAAAAAATTCAACGCTTCTTTTTGAATCGTGCTTCTAAGCAGTGTTTACAAATACTGTTTTGGAGCTTTTACAGCAGCCACTACAGCTGCTGTAGCTCACAAATCCAATCTGTCATTTTGATTGCTTGGAATAGCAGGTCAAGGAGCACACCCAAGACACAAGACTGGTCAATCTCTTCCTGTCTGGTAGACTAAGAAGTTTAACCACTTGCTCTCTGGAAGATTTACCTCCCCCTTCATGACCAGGTCATTTTGTTTTGCTATACAGTGCTGCATATTAACTGCGCTTTCATGCAACACTGTATCCAAATGAAATATATATAATATTTTTCACATAAATAGAGCATTATTTTGGTGGTATTTGATCACCACTGGGTTATTTATTTATTTTTTTGCTGTAAACGGAAAAAGACTGACAGTTGCTTATATATATATATATATATATATATATATATATATATATATATATATATATATATATATATATATATATATTTATCTTTTTTTTTTTTTTTTTTTTTTTTTTTTTTTTACTTTTTCTATAAATTTTTGGTAAACAAATACATATCTTTGGTAAAAATAAATCTCAATAAGTGTATATTAATTGGTTTGCATGAAATTTATAGTGTCTAACAATGGTATAGATACTGTGTTTTTATGGGGTTTTTTTTACTCGTAATGGAGGCGATCAGCAACTTATAGCAGGACTGGAATAGTATGGTGGGCATTCTGACAGTGGGTGGGAACTAACTGCCACTGATATCTCCATTGACACTAGTACAGTAATCAGTGCTAATAAAAAGCACTGTCACTGTACTAATGACACTGGGCAACAACGGGTTAACATCTGGGGCGATCAAAGGGTTAACTGTGTATTATGGAATGTTATTTGTGTTTACTGTGTACTGTTTTACTAGGGGATGTGCTGGTTTTTTATCTCCCTGCAAAGCATAAAAACTGCCATGTCCCCACTGATAAGAAAGAGATCTGTGTTGTATACAATCACAGATCTCTCTCCTGTCAGTTGCTCCACCGATCGCCGGGTCCTAGCCAGGAATCGCTGGGTGATATGTACAGGAGCCAATGACAGCACAGGTAGTCAGGCGCGTGCTACCCAGAAAAAAAAAAGAATCCCATATATATATATATATATATATATATATATGTGTGTGTGATTCTGCATAGGGAGGCCCCCTGTAGCAGTAAAGCTGCTATAGGGTGGTAGGCAACTGATTAAAAAAGGTTTTGTGATGTGCACTGGCACATGCAAGCTACTGAGTGTTTCACCTCCTACCTTATCCTCCATAGCAATCCTGCCACTGGTGAGTACCTTGCAAAGAGAAGTTAGAACAATTGCAACTACTTGGTTCCTCTTTCCAAAGTACTAATTCTTTGTTGTGGGAAATGTCCAAAACTAATATTTTATGCATATCTCAAGCTGAAACCTTTATCACTCTTGCACACAGCTGTACATTAGAGAATATAATCTGTCTGTAGCTGTGGTGCCCGGGAGGTACAGCTGCAACATACTTTAGCCCATTGACATGTAATCCAAAATATGTTGTTCTGGAACTTGGCAGTAGGTGTATTCAGAAAAAAAGACTCCCATGTAAATGCACATTAAATGCGTTGGGAGCTGCCTATGCATGGAAATGTCACTTTTGCTACAAGTTACATATCACCATGCAAGCCAGAGTAAGAACAATTCTAGATCAGTTATTCCTGGTTAATTTTAAACTGATGACCTGTAGGGCCTTTTAAAGTGTTGCCTAGGGAAAATTTAGGGTACCTAAAGGCAGCCACAGATGGTTTGAATTCGGCTGGTTCAGCAGGGACCGGCTGAGGTTCGAACCAACTATGGGTGAGCTGATTGTACCCAAGTTGATTGTTGTACAATCTTGGGTACAACCAGCATGCCAGATTTTTCATGTGATTGTAGCCAGCAGCTAGCAATAACCATTGTGTTCTCCCGGCAGACACGGCTCTCTGTGTCTGTTGCCAACCCTGCCGATAGAACTTTGGGAGGGATTTCCCCATCAACATTGACTGTGTTGATGGGGGAAATTGAGCGATTTGCTTTCCCTACATGGTTGCAGGAAAGAAAATCTCATTGTCTGTGGCCTGCCTTAATGTGTAAGCAGGTGCTTGCAATTTTAAACTAGACATGCTGGCTATAAATCTACTCAGGGCAATATCATCCTTTATATTTTACCAAAAAATTATATTCTAGAAAAATACATAATAATAATAATGGTAAATACACAGTATAATAAGAAATGTATTGCATTAGTGTGATCTAAGATTAAACGGCTGTAAACACAATTTTTTTTTTCCCACAAAATAAAAAACAGGTTGATACTTACCTGTTCTGTGCAGTGGTTTTTCACAGTGCCCTGGCAGCACTCTGTACTTCTCATGTCCTCTGTCTGCCCCCATAACAAACTGCTTGTTGTAGGGGTAGACGTGAGGGTGCACTCCCAAGTTCACTGACACACATGGCGCATCTTGGCCCCATCCTGTGGTCACTCCTCACTGGTGTTGACTGACAGCTGCAATAGCCAATGGCTCCTACTGCTGTTGGAGCCTCCAGTGAAACCAGAAAGAGGAGAGAAGAGCAGCAGACAGCCTCAGCATTGGATTGAGAATGGACCCAGGTAAGTATCTAAGGGGGGAGGGGGGTCTGGGGGTAAGCTGCTATTTTGCTTTAATGCAGAGAATGCTTAGAACTATAGACAAAACCTAAAACCTTTTTTTATCTTCATTTTGGATAGAGTAAGGGAGGGTCATAAGCCCTGCGAGTTTATTCTTTGCCATCTGCGTCCCATTGGGAGGATTTCCCTTCACTTCCTGTTCTGTAGCCGAAACAGGAAGTGAGAGGAAATCCCTGCAAATTATGGGAAACCCTAAGGGATCACCAGAACTAGTGTCCTCATTGTAAGATTTCCCCCTGTTACTTTACTGGGGACAACCCAAAATTAGGGCTTCTTTTTTTACTTTCACTTTCAACGATAATGGTAAACAGGACAAATAGAGAGGGTGAATCTCCCCAACAAAGGCACAGGCAGCAATAACAACTGACAGGTGTTCTAATCAATCTTCACTCTGTCTAAAATTAAAAAAAAGTTTTGCCTTTAGTACTTTAAGGCAAAATTTTTCTATATTTTTTGCAACCATTTTTTTTTTCCTGAAATTTTGTGCTTGTTAAAAAATTGGAACTATCATGACTGTTTTATTCTCCAGGATATCCGCTTTCAGAAAAGACATAATGTTTGGGGGGGCTTAATTAATCTTCAGGCCTAAAAAAAATTATTGTTTAACCATTGTAAGGCATTGTGCAAAAAAAGTGCAAAAATTACCCCTGGCAGGGAAGGGGTTGTGAGATATACTGAAATGTAAGAATATTTGATATCAGTATCTTCAGCTATATAAATGTACTCTTCAGTAAATAGTGTTTTTTCTTTTTTTTTTTCTTTCCTTACCGTTTAGGCCCACTAAACCAGAAAACTGGCGACCTCTATGGGAAAAAAGCAAAACAAGAAAAAAATGGAAGAAGTAGTAGATGAAGAAGAAGAGGAGTACGTGGTGGAGAAAGTCTTGGATCGGCGGGTTGTTAAGGGAAAGGTTGAATATCTGCTGAAATGGAAAGGTTTTTCTGAGTAAGTCCATTTATTTTGGAGGCTTGTCAATACTATAACTGATCTAGTGTATGCAGCTGATACAGAGAATCTAAACATTAAGTGAATGCATACTAAGCGGTGAGACCCAAGATATATAATAAGACCTAAGATAATAACGTTTAGGAAAAGCGCTGTGTTTTAAATAATATTACATTAATGGATTAGATGTGTCTGGTACAGAGCAGAAATCAGGGAAATGGAAAATAAATCTGAGCAGAATACAGCAGGAAGAATGCTGTCCTGAGAATTAGGGGGGATTATTTAAATTTAGTATTCACCCAGTGCTGTGCTGTCCTCTCTAAACCCTCAGGAAGCAGTCAGTTCCATCCACGAAAAAGGTCCATGTTTGTCAGCTTTGTGCTACCCAATTTATATTCCCATTGAAGAACCCCATTCATCTGTTAAAGATAACAGGCGTTGAGGAGGTGGCAGTATCGCCTCCTGAATGGCTTTTGGCTGCACCTGTACCTCTCTCTTAAAAGATCCAGAGAGCAACATGAGTAAATTAAGCCCATAACTGTTATAGACCTGTACAAATATGTCACAGTTTGGATCACAGAAAAACTGTTGCTTAGACACTGACAGATATCCAGATTTGCCTCTACATTTGTCACAAATTTGCTACATAAATGTCTCTAAAGGCTTTTTTTACACTTGCGGCATAGACTGCTGCTACTGTGAAAAGCAATCCACGTTTGGATCCTTTTTTCAGAGATGTTTGACAGGCAGTGAGGAGGCAATATGTCATCTCTTCACCACCTAACTCCCTAAATGCTGCACTACTGCACCATGACGGTTGCAGTGCTGCCCCGGTCACTTGAATGGGTCACGTTCGTGGGCAGTAGTGCCTGGCAAGATCAACAGGGGGTAGAATTCTTGCTGCAAAGCATTGTGGCCTGTGTACATCCCCAGCCAATGCCTTTGCAGCCAAATGAAGGAACGGTTAGGGGTAGTAAAATGTGACTCAACTGTGTGGTTCTACCATCCCCCCAACTGCAAGAAAACAGGAAAAGACATTATGCAAGTGTATTTTTTCTAAAGTCTGTCTGAAATGTATAGACCGTTGTTCACAGTGCTGTTTTTATTTTTCTCTTCTCACAGGCAGCAATGTGTTTTTGTTGAGCCTGATGTTTAGCTTCAGTCCGTCTTTTTATTTTCCTGTTTTTATACAAATGCATTAAAATTATTTTCTTTTTCGTTTCAAAAATACAACATGCTATCGTTTTCACTGTGTCGTTAGCTATCCTTTTCTTTTGTGAAGTTAACAGAGAAAAAATTACTAGAAAAAATGATTTAAAGCAGAAAAAGGAGTGAAAAGATTATTAAATTGTAATCAATGCAGAATCCCTAACAAAAAAAAAAAAACCAAGCATAACTTGTCTATCTCCTACATTTATGTCTCGCCTTTTATACACATCTAGCTGCAAGCATCCTCCATGTACACAATTCTTATAACCTTTTTCCCCTGAAATCGTATTGCTGGTGCTCCCCAATCTGATGGGCGGCTAATGGCGTTGACATTCTGCTTCCTTAGATCTCATTCACACGGGCAGAAAAAATGCTGCTTTTAGATGCATACAGCAGATAGTTTTCTATACATCGGAAAACACTCACAAGAAAAGTAGAACACCGCTGCAGATTTTGTGTGTACATGCATAGATGCGTATAAAAGTTCATAAGTGTGAAACTGTTAGTTATGTGTTTTATGCAGGATCTTCTAACTCTGCCATCAAGAACCTTTCTTTAATGCAGAAAATATGCTAGTGTGAGTGAGCCTGTAGTTATTTCCCTCAACCAGCCTGTGTTTGGACAATAAAAGTAAAGACCTCTCCAACCATAAATTTCCTGAAATCATAGGACCAGGAGAATAAAATATAGGTGCTACTGATTTTTTAGGCTCTGTGATATTTGCACAAATATTTTATTAAGATGATATTTTCACTGAAAATACAGTAAAATCATTAGCAAACACAAACTACTGCTAAAACTGTACTGAGTTAATATTTGTACATTTTTAATTTTTGCCCTTTTTTTTTTTTTCTTCAAAATGGTGAAAATTGAAGGTACGCAGAACTGTAAATGAGTAACTTACTCTAAAAACCTGGAGGTTATCATTTTTCATTAACAGCTTTCAGAGTTTGTAAACACCCCCAAACCATATATTTTCTGAAAATTCTAAAATTGACAAACACAACATAACTTCCACGATTCCTGCTTAGGCCTCGTTCACGTGGGGCATGCTAAAGCGTATGCCAATGTAGGGCCGTGTTTACCCACACAGGGATGCACAGATGTTCTGTGCATTTTCATGCAGTCCCATTGATGTCAACTGGGATGCAGTGACTGCACGGACACAACCAATGCTCTGAATTTGACATTAGTGCAGGTACATGTCCCCAAATACAGACAGTCTGAGTTTGGGTACACACACCCACACCAAGGTCAGATTGGCAGCAGCGGCTGTGTCCCAATTGGCATCAACGGGACTGACTGCACAAGGATGCACAGATCCACCTGTGCATTCCTGTGCAGGTAAACCCAGCCTTGCACGGGGGGTAGTATGCCCTCTATGAACAAGTTCCTAAATTTTTCTTTTTTGGGGGAGGGGGTTGTTTCTTGATGTCGTCTCTTTTTTTGAGACTGAGAGGGACTGAGCATATATAGTCCAGTCCCTTTTTTTCCCATAGATAGTCCAGACCAAGAGCTGTCTTTGACAACTCTGTCTCTGTACCAGTAGTGGTGCACAGTGAGCACGCTCTCCGCACAGAAATATCAGCTACCCAGTGACCTGTGCAATGTGTGGGAGTTAAAGCCACTCTTTTGTTACCACACATATCTGTTATGCAGGTGGCAGGAGGTTAAAGCAGACATGTACAAACAATATATCCCCAATCCCACCTTGTCCTGGGCACCATCAGACACCTGTACTTAGTGCTTCTCTGTTCACTGACACCTCTTTCTAAAACATTTGTGTATGTGGAATATTGTAAAGATAAAGATCAATAACTGCTTCACATTGCAGTACAGAACCATAGGGGTGCGGCTGAAGGGTGCCATTCAGCATGGAATGGCCACTAGCTGTTGGAAGCTAGTTGTGCTTACCTGTGACAGTATGGGAGGTGGGGGCACAGGTAAGTATAGGCAACCTAGGGTGCTTTGGAGAGGCTGGGGAATATTTGTATTGAGCATTTTAGTTTAAAGCAGAAAGTTGCCCTGTTCTTGCTGCAATGCCATTATGGCAGATGTACCTGGCTGTTTGTCCTCCTCCAGCACTGACAGATAACAGCTGTCCCTAGGTGCTGTTTATTGCTGCCACCTTCTACTGAGTTCCATTCATTCCCCCTTGAGTGTTGGGTGGCCATTTGCATCCAGCTCCATTTTTGACATCTCACAGATGTCAGGATCGTGCTGGGAATGTACACTGTACTGGGCATGCAAAGTAGGCAGTGTAAATTTTATATGTCATACGATATTACCGCAACGGTTTAGGAAATGCAGAATTTCAGTAAAAAATACACTAAAGTGAATTTTAGGGCAATCAAATGCAATACCTACATTTTGGTAAAATATAAAAGACAAGGTTGCACCAAGTAAATAGCTACCCAGCATGTCAAACTTTAATTTGTACACGCCCGTGAAATGTATTTATTACAGGTACTTGTATAGCGCCGTCAATTTATGCAACGCTTTAAATATATATATTGTGCATTTGCATCAGTCCCTAATCCTCAAGGGGTGTACTATAAAAGGTCCCTTACTCACATTCATACATACACATACTAGGGCCAATTTAAACAGGATTCTATTAACCTACCAGCATGTCTTTGGAATGTCGGAGGAAACCGGAGTACCCAGAGGAAACCCACGCAGGCAAAGGGAGAACATGCAAACTCCAGGCAGGTGGTGCCGTGGTTGGGATTCGAACCAATGAGCCTAGTGCTGCCAGGTGGAACTGCTAACCATTTAGCCACTGTGCTGCCTACAGTACCCTATAGTTTCCATAGACAATGCTTCAAAACTACCTATAGATCATCTGTTTAGCGTTACAGAGGAGGTCTGGTGCTAGAAATTTTGCTCTCACTTTGACGTGCGTTGCGATATGTAACATGCATCACAATTGACATTTTCATGTAAAGGTGCCCCCAATGTGTGCGTTTACGTTTGCATGTGCTCATAGATGGGGCTCAAAAAAAAATTTTTTTTGGGGGGGGGATATTTTATGTGCTTGTGTAACTTTTTCATTTTTGCAGTTTACAAATGTATTTATTTATTTAAACTTTTTTCGTGTTTGGTGACAAATTCTCTTTAATGAGACATGCATGGTCTAAAAGACCGTGCATGTCTCCTCTGCTCCAATGTATGTAATGCAATGCAATGCATTCCTTCCCAGCTATTCTAGCCGGAAAAAGTGGCGGAGACCTGGATGTGATGATATACACGTTGCTTTCTGGGTCAGCAACAAGAAGAGGAGAGCAGCCGTGTGTCTGCTCTCCTCCCTCCACTTTACTCGATGGCACGCAATATGTCGCTCCTGAGTCCGCAGATGGGAAAACATAGCAGACAGAACAGAATACATGGTGGAGGGCACAGTTACTGGGGTGTGTGGAAGCACACGCAAAAACAGTTGCTCTTTTTGATAAAAGTGATTTGAACTGCTGATTAACCGCTAAATCACTTTTAGACACGGTGGGAGGGGAATCCCCCTCTGCTTTCCGTTGGTTCTCGGGCCTACCTGGCTCATTGGGAAGCCCAGGAACCGATCAGGTGGTTGCCAGGCTGGCCTTAGACATCAACATAGGAAAGATGGCCTCCAATCATCTCTAAGACCTTGGAGGTCTTATAGACCCCAGATCTCCAAAATGAGGACCTGTCATGCTTTATTGTTGTCACAAGGAATGTTTACATTTCTCGTTATAACAATAAAAGTGATGAAAAAAAGGGGGTGGTGTAAAAATGACCTCTGTAACTCCAAACTGGTA